TGCTTACAGTTAAACACAATATATACTTATTTTCCAAAGCAGCCAAGTATTTTGCATCTACATTTTTTTTAATGCATGAACAAAAAAGGCATTTAAGTGTATAAATATACATTTGGACTTCACTTTTTGTGATAGGGTTGTTTATGTATACAATGAATGCACTGTCCTTACCACTGCATCGCAAAGAGTCTAGGCCCTGTCTTATTTCTTTGTGTTGGCTTTGCTAAGTGTTGGTTTCAGTATTCCACTCAACTAAAACGACGCCTTTGCTGCCATCTTGTGCTTCATAAATACTTTATGAAGCACAAGTTGGGAAGGGTCTGTGTTTGCATAGGTACTTAAAATAAATGATGCACTAGATGTCAAACCTTTTGAGTTGACATATAAATAAGTCTCAAACTATATTAAATTAAAGCATGTTTCCTTGTTTTAATGTTCAATTGTGTTTATCCCTTGTAAAAGCCCTCAAAACTCACATTTTCGTGAAACCTGTGAGTAATGTGTGGCACTTCCTGTGATACTCTTATACCGTAGGATGGGGCTCTGCGAGTAAACATACTACTCAGATGTTGTCAACTGCAGGGAGAGGCTGGGGATATAAAGGCTGCTGGGAAACATGCCACAGTGATAAGTGACCACATCTGTTTGTATGAACTGCTCAAATCTCCATGTCCATATGTGTATGGAACAATTGTTTAAATGATATTCATTATTTACATAGCCATTTTTTTTTTTTCCCCTCACTTTATCTGTACCATCTGCTGTTGTAATAATGTACATTTCCCTGTTGGGACAAATATTTCTAATTCTGATTTTTGAGGAGTGTATAGTTCTTTTAAATAAATTACAATCCAAAAAGACACTTATCTTTTATTATAATTCACTCTTGTATGTTTTATGCAACCCAATCTCACGGCATTTCGTGTTCACCAACACGATTTTTAATCTATTGATTCGTGTTCACCAACACGATTTGCCCCTTTTTTTCGTGTTGCACAGCACAATTTTAAAAGCAATGTATTTCTACTGCCTGCAGCACGTCTTTTTCTCCGGTCGGGTCGAGGAAGACCGGAAGCTGTGTGGTTCATAAAAACATGTTCTTACTCAATATCAAGCCACAGTTATTGCTTTTATTTGAAATCGTATAATTTCGGACTTTTGTTGCCGTCTGTGAGGAAAATAAATGGGGCTCAGAGCCTCAGAATACGGAAATCTGTATTTTTAAATATTTTTTTCCTTCTAATTCGATATTCTTTTCAAAATAACACACTGTTATTTACTCACCAATAACACACAATTATCCTTGCTTTTATTTATTGGTTTAATTCCATAATCTCGGGCTTTTTAGGCGTCCGTCAGGAACTGAATTTCAAAATAAAAATAACCGGAAACAGACGTAGGGAACATTTCGAGCATCATTGCGATTGTCAACATTTCTGAGTTTAGGATGGCTGAAGACACTACACTACCCATAATCCCCAGCTATCGTTTAGGACTACAGTCCCGTAAGGTTACGCAGAGCGTCAAACAGCTGTGTGAAATGGAATGAAACCACGCCAGACTATCCAAAACTAGAATCGAACGCCCCCCCCAGAACTACACATGCTGGCTATTGTGTTTCGCAAAATGTTCTATGGGACGTCTCTACTGAACGTTTTCGTTTTTCCCACAATTAGAAGTTGCCAGTATTAAACACATTGGTGTTATCAAATGTAAAACATATAATTAATAAATGGGTGAAAATCGCTTGTGTCCATAATGCGCAGCATTAATACCCACATGACAGCTCATTGTTACTTTGTAATTCTACTCCACTACAATTCAGAGGTTAACCTGGTATTTTTACTCCACTGCATTTATTTGAGTTACTTTGCAGATTCTGATTAATTATGTGAAATATAAACAACCCTTAAATCAGACTTTAGTTACACCTGAGTAAAATTCAGGTAAGGTGATTGTCAAGTGCCAACAATCAGGAGAGATATTTGATAGTTGGTGCTTGAGAAGACTAAACATGTATCTGCAATTGACATGAATGGAAACGAGTAATAAAGTATATTCATTACTCGTTATTCTCTACTAATAGTTCATTAAAGACTGTATATTATGGCTATTTTGCACATCCCTTTCAAGATTTTCAAAGGTGTATTGACATATCATATACACAACTACGGTGTAGTTATGCAATGAATGAAACACTTGGGTCACAGGTTCCTCAACAGTGCATTACAAGACATCTATCAATATGTGTGTACCTCCACCATTAAACTGTCATATTCTGCACATTTCTTATTCTATCTACATACATACGAGTATAATTCATATGTATAATATCAGTTAAAATAAGTGCTTCAACATAGTTAACATTACAGGAAAGCAATATATTAGACGTTAAGTACTTTGTCAGGCTTAATATTTATCTGTAGATAGATACCCCCAAAGTGTTTTTCTTATTTAAAAGAAGACCTTAATCTGTTATTTAATGTTTAAATAAAGGTTAATTCGTTTTTCTGTTTTGCACCTCCTCCTATTAATATCTTTGTACATTCTGCACTAAACTGTTTTATTGTAGAGATCACTTATAGTATCTTCTTGATTTTTTATATTCTATATTTATACTTTCCCCCTATGAAAGTATGTACTCTTAATATTTTTTTAATCAAATAAAACATAATAATTCAAAACGTGCTTTAACCACTAGGCGGTGCACACAAGGTACACACAGCCATAATAACGTTGTATTATTAGTGTAGGACACTTTTGTTTTCGTACAACATCTGAAAATGTGTAGTTTTATGCATGCTTTTACATAATTTTACAGTATATTGCTATACTATTTCAGACTCAGTATTTACATTCTTACATTCAAAGAAAATCAGTAATATCTTCAAAAACTACAGTCCTTTTATATCAGCTGTGCACCGTTATGGTGTAAATATAACCTATCTGTGAATTTGATCAAATGTAAAAGTCAGCCGAATTAGTGTTGATACTGCAAGGAGACGTATTGTGTGAAGAGAAATTGAAGATGTTGTTTAATTGTTGAATATATTTATGATCCACGTCAAGTATTCAGTTTCGGCGGCATTTTCTCAGTTTTTCCAAAGGTCTTCTCATCAGGGCTCTATAAATAAAGAACTACGGCAGATCTGTAATATACAATGCAGCCGAACCGTGTATTACAATGCCGTTATGTGATGACTTTCAAAGAGAAAAGCAAGAGCGCTCGGAATTAAGTATTATTTTATTCTTTTAAAATGTTTTCCGGATTTCATATCATATAAACACCAAATCCCAGCATAAATTGCGGCTAAAACATCCAATAAGCGAGCTTAAAACCATAGCTGAGGATCTTGGGTAATCGCTCGAAATGCCTACGTCTGTTAACGGTTATTTTTATTTTGAAATTCAGTTCCTGACGGACGCCAAAAAAGCCAGAGATTATGGAATTAAACCAATAAATAAAAGCAAGGATAATTGTGTGTTATTGGTGAGTAAATAACAGTGTGTTATTTTGAAAAGAATAACAAATTAGATGGAAAAAAAGATTTAAAAAATACAGATTTCAGTATCCTGAGGCTCTGAGCCCTATTTATTTTCCTCACAGATGGCAACAAAAGTCCGAAATTATACGATTTCAAATAAAAGCAATAACTCTGGCTTGATATTGAGTAAGAACATGTTTTTATGAACCACACAGCTTCCGGTCTTCCTCGACCCGACCGGAGAAAAAGACGTGCTGCAGGCAGTAGAAATACATTGCTTTTAAAATCGTGCTGTGCAACACGAAAAAAAAGGGGCAAATCGTGTTGGTGAACACGAATCAATAGATTAAAAATCGTGTTGGTGAACACGAAATGCCGTGAGACTGGGTTGGTTTTATGACAGTTGATGTAGTGGATCTGAAAGCAATATAGGTGTTTTTGAGTTTAGCATTTTAATTGATTTCCCTCCTTATGCTCTACAAATGTAGTCTTCATAGAAAGTGTATTTAAAGCAGTGTGTGCTTTGGGAGTGTAAAGTAAGGAATCATTTACCACAGCCCGCTTCCAGGCACCGATAACCCCAGCTCAAAGCCCAGTGGTCCGCGCAAAGGGCAATGATGATAATGCTACATTGTTAACTACAAATTCAGGTTGAAATTGGAAAGTGAGAAAATCTAGTTAACGTTGGCTCTTAGCTGTTAGCAGTCGTTAGGCAGCACAGACCTGCTCCTAGCAAACAACAAGTAATGGATGTTGCGTTATGTGACATAATTACTCTACAGTGGACTAACTGTACTAACTGTACTGAGTGATATCTCAGTCGAACAAAAGGCCTCACTCTGTATGTAGATGATGACAGGTGACCTGTTGGCTGCAGATGCTTCATGGATTAGTCAGTCAATCATTAAAGTCACAGAGCTGAAGGTATGCGACAATGCTCCTCTGTTAACAAAGCACTTATATACTAATAAAGGACTGGCTTATCTAAAGCCAGTTGAGTAGCACTTGAAATGTTTGGCTCTATGAAACCTGATGTACTTATATGATTCTGTTTTCTTCAAGGTTGTGTCTTCCTGGTCGAATGTACTTATTGTAAGTCGCTTTGGATAAAAGCGTCAGCTAAATGCAATGTAATGTTATGTCACAGGTATGTGATCAGCTCTGTTGGTAAACAGGGCAGTTCATCCACTTCTGTCTTTTTGTTACTGGTGAAGTTACTCAAGGTGTATCATCTCAATTGCACAAGTATATTGATTTACACACAAGAACAAGTGACGTTCGCTTATGTTTTTAACACTCCCCTTTATGTACAACATTCCAGCGCCAAAGCTACAGGTCTACATTTTCCTAAATGACAGCAATCAGCTTGTGAAACAACTTCAAAACTGTTAGCAATCAATTTCTCTAGGTAATAAATTGTTCTTTCACATACTTCATATAATTATGTTGGGCTTTAAATCCAGACGACCTACATGTACTCAACTTTCGTCCAAGATGATAAGACTCTCCACTTACCCCTGGTTCAGGTCGGGTTGCACTTCTGCCGGATGCTTGTATTTCTCTGATGTGTGTATCTGTGTCTCTGCAGCAGGACGTTGTGTGTCTGCGTTCGGGGCTGACAACTCGACTGCCACCTGTTCTTCCACCGTCCTGGTTCTGTATGTGCTCTGAGTAATTGTATCCACCCACTCACTACTCTTTAGAACCCTATTGTGTTCAACCTCCGTGGCATCTGATTGCAGATCAGCCCTGCGAGTCAAAGTACTTGTGACAACCTGCACCCTAGCAGGCGTATCTGTGTCTGCACTTGCTGTAGTGACACTGCTGCTTTTTATGCTTTCTTTGCTCACTTCAACTATGTTGTGTGGCACTGCAGTGAGTGAAACTAGCTCTCCTGCCTCTCTTAACCTGGGTGTGAGCATGTCTCCCTCTGTTGTGATCCTGGAATCAGCATGTACAGAGCTCATGATGCCTTTGTGACTCCGATACTGTATCACCTCACTCAGGAGTTGCATGTCCCCATTAGAGTGGTCTTCTTTCTCCAATTCCTCAGTCCAGTTTCCCCTGGACCCCTCCCCCTGCCCATGCAGCTCAGTGGAGGGTGGAGCAAAGTTGCATACCATCAGTGTTTTCACCTGCTGAACCGGTGTGGCAAGTAATTCCTTCTCTCCTTCCTCCTCCCCCTCTTCTCTCACCTGTGGCCATACTGTGGTTGCTACTCCTTTCTCCTGACTCCTTGCATCACCGCCTACAAGAAACGTAGACGTCTCAATGTCCTGCACTTGAGCCTGTGGCCTCTGACCTGCTACTTTTTTCTCCACTTCAATTTGGCTATTGACTCTCTCTTTCCTTTCGTCATTGCCTATTTTGCCTACTTCATTTTGCACTTTAACAATCAACCCCCGAAATTCTCCCTCATCTCTCTTTCTTATCCATCTTTCTGCACTCTCCTCTCGCTGTGGAAACTCAGCCTCTCTCCCCCCGTCTTCCATTGACATTTCTCCCCTTTCCTTCATCGTGTACATCTCTTCTCCCCCGCTCTCATCTGTGTTGTCTTCTTCAGCACTGTAGTAGATCTCCATACCACTGCCTTCATCTGATCCCACGCTCAGGTATGCTGGACTTACAGGCCCTTCAGAGCTCTCCGTCGGTCCAGAAGGAGCAAAAAAAGACTCCCTTGGTTCAATTCTTATCTCAAGACACTTTGATGCGCTCATTTTTTCAGGCACAGGACTGACGGGACTGACAGGATCGGTGCTTGCTTCGTCCTCGACTAACTGTTTGAATGGGTTCACTCTCTGTTCAGAGGCAGTAACCCGAGTGCCTGCCGCTTGGGATGTTACACATTCAGAAATGGGAGGGGCAGAGCTTTCAACCTCAGGCACAGAACTGACATTGTCTTGAATAGGGCTAAAACTGTCTGATTTCACCTCTGAAAGTGGGTGGGTCATCTCTGAGTAAGGAATTGTATCATTGTCAACTGGTGCAGAACCTGAACTGAGCCAGGAATGTGGATATCTGGGGTTAATATCAATAGTTTCTGTCTGATATTCATTAAGCGTTTTAACCACGACAGGCTTTGATGTGGTGTTAAGATGAATAATCTCAGTATGGACCTTAGGTGGAGGGTTTGATATAGGGGTTGACAATATCTCCGAGGTAAAACTCTGGGGGAAAAGAGAGTCATACAAAGCTCCATAAGCAGCATATTCGCTGACAGGAGAACTATTTTCCTTACCAACAGCTGAAGTTGTGATTACACTCGAGGCAGTTTCAGGAGTAGATTTCTCAGATCCAGAAATTGAGAATTCTTGGTGGACAGAAGTTAAATCTGTGACTACAGTTGAGTCTTTAGGGTGAGGAGCAGGGATTGAGTCGGTAATTGTAGCGTCAATTTTAGAGTCAACACCTGCTAGTGAGAGTTTGCCATTTTGCGTGGAAGCTATGTCAGGGGCTTCAGGTTGATTATGTGATACTGTAACTCTGGGGGATTCGGTGAAAGGGATTTCTGTTGTATTAAACTGCTGCAGAATATCATTGTCACTCAAATCATTGCTTGTGGGGTTACCAGCGACAGCTTTGTGATCAGAGCTTGAAGGCTGGCTAGCTGGTTGGCTAGGTACAGTTTGGTTTTCGGAGGTGGCTTCTGTTAGAGTCTTAGGAGCAGATGGATCGGAGTTATAATGAACAGGAATGTTCTCTTTCTCCTCCAATGAGCCCAGATTATCCATCTCAGGGATGGTAGCAATCGGTGCTTTCTGTGGTTCCTTATGTACGTCAAATATACTTGAACCAGATGACTGTGATTGGTTTTGGAGAATAAAATATGATTCTGATTGGTTTGTGGTCACAGGGGGAGGAGAAGGGATGTCGAATGTATCGAAGGTGTCCAGCTCTGGTTGAGACATGCTGAACTTCCTGTTGGCCTGATCCGACTCCAACTGACTGAGGTCCGAAGGAGTCTAGAAGATAATAGTCCAATCATCACAGGTGTATCAGAAAAATACATTTTTAACCCTGCAATAGTAATACAGACAATAATATAAATTCAATGATGATAAAGAAACTGGGGCTATGGATAAATCAAACCAAATAAATATGATTATACTGTAAAGCTACATAGATTATAGTTCATGCACTATATTTGAAAATGTATTTGTCACACGTTTAGTTTAAACAACATTCAGTGAACGGGTTTACCTCCTCTTGCTCTTCAATATCAGGTCGATGAAGGCCAAATACGCTCTTAGAGATTCCCTCTTCATTCTTTCTTCTCTTTTTAAAACCAAAGGAGAAGGTAGCAAACCTTTTTGGCTTTCGCAGGTCCAACTCTGAGTAGCTCAACTCTTTGTTCTGAGAGGAAGAAGGAAACATTAAGGGAAGTAAAGTGAAATAGTGAGAGATGGAGCAAGAAATGAAAAATGTGTGACTTATTTAATCTCAATTCAATAAACATGACATGTCCTTCAAAGCATCCTGCATTAACCAATACTGAATGAAGCAAAGAACAGGAAGTGCAACTTTCAGAATTTTAAAATAACTGTATATACCCTGCATACCAAACACAACTAACCCTTTTAGACCCTTGCCAATGATTCCCTTCACCTGCAAGAGTTTACACCCTGACTTCAGGGAATTATTTGGGAAAGAAACCAGCGAGTGAATGTATTTTTGATGATGTTTTTACTGAAAGGTTGTAAGGATGAGATAATCTCTTTGAAAAGGCAAAAACAATATTATATCACAATTACCTTACCTGAAAAAAATGATAAATCTATAGGAAATATATAACCCTGATTGATTTCTCTTATGCCATGTAAATATGGTAGAATTTGAAACAACTGAGGGAAGAAAGCAAACTGAGGAATTATATTTAAAATAGCTAAATCAGGTGCTTGGTTTGTTGCCAGAGGAAGACGTTTTTCAGATGTTGTTGCTTGATTCACATAGAGGGGAAAACGTTTGTCTTAATAACATAAAGGCTATAAAACCTCTCTGGTTCAGTCAAATCTGGTGAACATGTTGCGCTTAAGACAGATTGTTAATGGTACACAGTGCACTGCAGCGAAAAATATGTGTAGCAACAATGCTGTGATCTGATGAGAAAATGGTGACACATCAAATGTGGTAAAGTCAGGTCGGGGCACAGCATCTGTGGTTAGGTTATCAGTCTATCATCAGCTGTTGATTGCCAAGATTGACAGAATGGCTGCCATAACTTCATTGACATAGATCCTGTCTAATTAAAAAGTTATCATCTTGAATGATGATACCAATGGAGACGTGACCTAATCACAAATGTATTTCACACACATACATTAAGTCAAAGTCAAGGCAGGCCACGGCAGAGGAAAATTATGGTTATCAATCCGTCATTAGCTGTTGATTGCCAAGTTTGACTGAATAGTTAAAATATCTTCATTGCTAATAATTCTAGTCCTGTGTAATTAAAACTTCATTCCACGCAGGTAAAAGTACTCTACCCAAAATAATAAAAATAAACACTATATGAACACGATGAACTTGACACTAGTGGCTCCTGGCTCCGACACAGAGAATTGGATTGGCTTGGTTAAGGTTAAACAAAAACAAATGCAACTTTATGTCCTTTTAAATAACCCTAGTATACTGTTGCATGGCCTGAAGCAGTACAGTATATTATTAGATCTACAGCAAATACTATTTGCAGTCAGTGAGAGTCAGTGTATCACCAAACTGTTCCAAAACATTACTGTTACAGAAACTTTTTTTTAACTGATTGAGATAAATGTCAATCTGGCAGGATAAAGTTAAAACACTTTTTTTCGGGAGCGACCTAGTATGTTGTATGCGTTCCTTATCAGATTGTTTAAAAAGACACTAAACACTGACTGAGATGATGTTATTGTAATCTAGTGCATGCACATGTTTTGTTGAGACGCAATGACAAAGGAGAATGGAACCTGCCATCAGCCATGTTTTTAACTGGGTGTGACCGTCAAATTCTTCCTTCTATGCGTAAGTTTGGAAAGTATGAAGAGCAAACACAATGAAAAACTATGGAATCTTAGCTGAGGTTATAGTGCGAGGATTGTGTAACACTGCTGTTTTAGACATACATCGATCTATTGTCTATCACTGTGATTCAGTTATCCGATATCCCATTTACTGTAAAAGTCCTACCGTTTAAAACTTGTTTTTTTTTATCTTAATTTCAGATTAAGTTAAGTAGAACTTTGGAATCAAGTATTGACCGGAAACTTTGAATTTCATAAGTAAAAAAAAAAGAGGAAAAAAAATATTCTAATTCAAAATGACTGCATACTTCATACTGATCAGTACAAACTTCATAGTAAAATGACAATTTAGTATGCCATTAGCTAGATACCTTTCACAGTGAAGGAAACTCAAGCAAGACTGTATGGATCACAAAGTTACTGGTCCTAGCTTCAGTTGACTTAAAATTGTTTATCACAAGCGTAAATTATAGGCTGCCTCGCACATAGCAACGTTTCAATATCAATAAGTTTGTTTTGCTGGAAGGCAAACTGTTGAAGCTGCCAGAAATAATAACTACTTTCTTAAAGTCTGTAATTTATCATTGCAAAGCTCGGAGTTGAATGGGAACACATTAATTACATAATATAGATACTGTAACCCCTTTACCATTTTTTTCATTTTTCTTAATGTGCGTGAGCATTTTCCTTGTATTGTATTAATGTCTTTCTAGTTTTATTTTGCTTTGAAAGTGTACAATAAAGAACACACGCAAAAATAATGGTTACTTACTTAAGAACATACATATCCTAAACACATAAACATGCACTGCATTCATACAACCAACTCCTGAATTTCCTGTTAAAATGCTGCTCTGAGTGTAGAATCTGCCAAACCAATGAGTAGAACTTTAAAGAAATATAATATATGAATGCAGGTCTCAGCTACACAAAGAAGTCAGATCAGTTTTGAGCTTTACCAAAACACTTTTGTTTAGTTAAGCACTGACGCTCTCGGCTGGATGGAATAAACAGTAAATAGTGTCCTACTTAGGTTGATCTCACACCGTCATATCGACTGCAATGTTTTCATCACACAGAAAGGTGTTGGACAATATGTATTATGTTCACATTACTTTCTGTCCCAAACGCCAGTATGGAAATTCAAACAAATAAAATATTTAGTTTCTGCTTTTGCCAGTCTTAGCAAGGTCTCCCTTGAAAAAGAGATTCACAATCTAATAGTACTTCTCAGGTTAAATAGATTCCAAATGTCACAGTAATGTTGAAATTAAACTATAAGATTTTGCAAATAAAATATGAAATAATCACTAGCGATCTAAAACGTGAACAGACTGCTTGCACATGCTGTGCTGGATTGTTTTTTGAGGGTATGGTGCCCTCTAGAGTGGAGTTCTACATATAATTCACCTGCAGCCAATTGTACTGTATGTATTTCTGCGGGTGTAAATCAATTGGGATTAAGGTTATTAAATCTAAAAGTGATCAAATAACAATGGATGAATAAAGCAGTATAATAAAGAGTGTGCCTTTCTTTCCAGGTGTACATTAGAGTTACCTAAGTGTGTGCTTTGGAGTGTAAGGGGATCATGATTATGTAAGTTAAACCCTGAGGGAGATTCAGCAAACCGTCGAATGTCGTTACAGTTGAAAAGGAGAGTCATGAAGTTATCCAACAGAGGGACATTTTACTCAATGTCCCCCCAAAAAACGATTTCCCCCAAGAATATTTATGTTTCAACAAGTATACTGTATGCATGTATACATTTTACCGATGATTTGGGGAAGAAACAAGAATGTAAATGTCCTATGTATTCATGTAAGAAAGAGAAGATCTCTTACAGCAACTAAATACAATAAAAATAATGCACCATAATTACTTTTACTAACCTTAATAATGAATATAGAGGAATTTCTTATTCCACGCACATTTTATTTGACTTGCCAAATCATGTGCCAGAGGGACTAACACATAAAGTTTCAACTGAATATCATGCCGTTAGCCTCCAAGGCAGCAGAGGACAGGTTTCCAGATGTTGTCGCTTCATTCTCATACAGAGGAGAACGTTTGTCGTAATATCATTAAGGCAAAGTTTAAAATATAATCAATAAAATAAATCTGTTGAACATTTTGTGCTAAAGATACATTTTAATGGTGTAAAGTGCCGAAGAAATAAGCTAAAATACTAAATACCCGATTCAGAATGTATACTAAAGGAATTATCCGAATTGTAGCAACAAAAGTATGATAAGATGAGAAAATTAGTCCTACATACATTGTGGTAAAGTCAGGGCAGGGCAGAGCTGACATTTTAAAATGGTTATCTGTCTGTCAACAGCTGCTTGACTGAATACTTGACATATTTTCATTGATTATAATTGTAGACCTGTGTAATTAAATGTATTTTATTCGTGAATGATTATACTTTTATTTATTATATTTTCTTTTTTTTGGAGTGTTTATATCATGGGCTTTGCTAACAGGTCTTTAGTGTCTAATAAGAGTAAATAAATACTATAACCAATGTATTTTGAATGTGATATACCAAAACATTCATTACTTAGTTTGTTAATGAAACTTAGACACTTTACTGCGGCATATGCCCAACTTTATTTTCTCAAAAGTGACAAACATTTCTTACAAGCTCAAACTAATGCTGTGCCTGTTGCTGCAAAACAAATATATATACTTAAAATTGACAGTTTTTTTGTTATTAGTCAGAATAATTGGTGTATAACTGCTCATAAAGAAACAATGAGACTATTGTAAAAATGACATTTTTAGTTATTGGTGAACTTCAATGTTTACTGTACCTAACATCCCAGGAATTTGAGTGACTGTGAAACCTAAAGGCAATCTTGTTAAACAAAAAGGTTTATTATTACTCATGTCAGGTCCCAACAAACCTTGCTGATGCCATTTCAAATGTATTGCCTTGTGGGCATTTGGCTTGACACTTTTAGACTAACACACAAACACACACCTACATAAAACAGACCCCCCTTGACATAATTCTGTCAAAAATGTTTCCTGTTGTTCTGCACTGTTTAAATTACTAGAACACATATTGGTGATGGCTGATGTTGATTATCAACAAAATACCTGTGAACAATGTACACAAGGAACGCAGTGGACTGACCTTTGACCTGGGTGCGGTGCCGTAGAGAGAAGACCTCTTGTTGTCTGAGGTGATGTTGTCAGACGTTGCTTCTCCATCCTCAACAGCACTGAGAGATACACAGTTAAACATTTGAAATTAGTCAATTCTATAACTGAAACCCACTTGAAATTATTACAGCTAATATGGCCTTTTATAATTTTTCAAATAGCAGAAAAGAATATGTAAATGTAGCTTTTTAAGTGCCGTTTTGTCCAACATCTGACATTTTCTTATTCTTTTTTTGATTACAGTATATGAACATTGGGAGACCTCTTTTGTAAAATGACTGTAGTGAGGTAGTATAGTGAGGACTACATACAGTCATCCTGTCTGACCAGCATAAGCAGTGGCTTAAAAAGACAGTCAAATATGCTGCCTAGAGCAGTGAATCATTGCATAGGGAATGATGAATAGAAACTGACTAAGCAGAGAGGGAGTTTACATTTCAGCCTTGCTTGGTAAGTATGACTTTTATAAAAAACAACATTCATCGGGATAAAATGAATTGTTTAGTTATTTAATTGGGATAATTTCCATGTGCTCTATTCTGAAACATGTTTTTTAGTTGTATTCTTTACTGACTCTTGGGGAGGTCAGTGAGGTGGCAGGGGCTTCAGAGTAAACAGAGAGGCTCCATCAATAATCACGAGCTGTCATCACATCAAACAAATCCTACAAAGGTCACTTTATGCACAAAGGCAGTCCTCCTTTGTACAACTGGATGCAACAGGAAGTCAAATTACCAGCAAACATTAGTAGCGGCGCCACATTTAATAACCCACTGGGACATAACATCTCATGCGTTTTTACCAGTGAGAATGAGCAAGGCCTAAGACCCCATTTACACGGGAACGCAAACGAAACGCAAACAAACTCGATATAAAAAAAGTCTTCCGTTCCCACGGATACGGCTCAATAAACATGGACGTACACACGGAGCCGTTTGGCCCCCCAGAGCGTTTCGTCCGCAGATCTATCCACCTTGGGAACCGTTATCGTTTTAGTGGTCCGTTTCCGCGGTTCTGTTACGGCCTCTTGTGAACGAACTGGCTTTACGAAAGAGAAAAGTAGAGGATACAACCCGTTTAGTTCCTGTGTAAACAGCACATAAAGCAGCTTCAACAGTTCAGTATTGACTCTCTATGACAGGCTCACATGGACACAAATACATGCAACAAGACAAACACGTCACACACATGTTGTGTTTAAACAGCTACAAAATGGTGTGTATTTGTTTCTTTCACACACAAAACCAGGCCGCCAATCAGGCAGGTATTGCGAGTGTGAGGCAAATAAGCCATTTAGGGGTCAGGAAAGATATCCAGTGATAAAAAGATGTGTCTTATCTTTGACCCAAGGTGTTTACATGTCAACTCAAGGGAACTATTTGAACTTCAACACCAAGACATGCTATTGTGAAAAATATAATCCTGATATGGACGAAGTTCAACAGGATGTTCTGTGCCTGTGCAGTATTGTGTGGGAATGCTTGTTTGCATAAAAACCAGAATGATATAGAGAGAGGGAACCACAAAGGTGAACCACAAATATTTGCATTTGTATCATCAAACTGGCACACACTTGCTACAGCCAAGCAACGTATTTTCTGTATGCACATAGGCATCAACCCGCGATAATTAATTGTGGTAATTATTGTGTTTCAATTGGACGATGTCACGATGAAATTATTTAGCGTGATATGCAGATATTCAATTTTAAATATGTATCTGGAGCAAGCAGCTCCAGATAGCATCATCACTGGAACAGCTAGTCTGGCTCAGTCCAAAGGTGACAAAACCTGGTGCAAACTTGTTATCTCCAGCCAGGCCAAATGTTTCCAGTCTTTGTGCTAAGCTAAGCTAACCCACCTGCTAGCTTTAGCATCACATTTTCTGAGCAGACAAAACAGGCATCGTCAAATAACTCTTGGCAAAAACATAAACCCTGTTAGAAGCAAAAATTACATCTAGAAAGGCAAGTTTACTTTTTTCTTTAATTACATTGCATTTAGCTGACGCTTTTATCCAAAGCGACTTACAATAAGTGCATTCGACCAGGAAGATACAAACTTGAAAAAAACTGAATCATATACTGTAAGTACATCAGGTTTCATAGAGCCAAAACATTTCAAGTGCTACTCAAATGGCTTTAGATAAGCCAGTCCTTTATTAGTATACAAGTGCTTTGTTAGTAATTGTATTGCTCGAAGTAGAGTCGAAAGAGATGAGTTTTCGGTCTGCGCCGGAAGATGTGCAGGCTATCTGCTGTCCTGATTTCAATGGGGAGCTCATTCCACCATTTTGGAGCCAGGATAGCAAACCGACATGTTTTTGCTGATGGGAACTTGGGTCCCCCTCGCAGCGAGGGTGCAGCGAACCGTTTGGCTGATGCCGAGCAGAGTGCACATGCTGGGGTGTATGGTTTAACCATGTCCTGGATGTAGGAAGGGCCAGATCCATTCGCAGCATGGTACGCAAGTACCAGTGTCTTGAAGTGGATTCTAGCAGTTACCGGAAGCCAGTGAAGTGAGCGGAGGAGCGGTGTGGTGTGGGAAAATGTAGGAAGGTTGAAGACCAGACGAGCCGCTGCATTCTGGATGAGCTAAAGAGGTCGGATGGCACATGCAGGTAGACCAGCCAGGAGGGAGTTGCAGTAGTCTAGGCGTGAGAGGACGAGAGCCTGGACCAGAAGTTGCGTCGCTTTCTGGGTCAGGAGGGGACGTATCCTCCTGATGTTGTAAAGCATGTATCTGCAGCAGCGGGTTGTTGCAGCGATGTTTGCAGTGAAGGACAGGTTGTTATCTAGGGTCACACCCAGATTCCTTGCAGTCTGAGTCGGGAGGGGCCGATGTTGATTGTTAGGTCAAGGGTGGGACACTCTTTTCCCGGAAGAAAAAGCAGTTCAGTCTTGTCAAGGTTGAGCTTGAGGTGGTGAGCAGACATCCACTGAGAGATGTCTGTTAGACAAGCAGAGATGCGTGCGACGACCTGGGTCTCTGAACGTGGACAAGACATAATTAATTGGGTGTCGTCAGCATAGCAGTGGTATGAAAAACCATGAGGGCTAATGACTGATCCGAGCGAGTTTGTGTACAGAGAGAAGAAAATGGGACCAAGGACAAAACCCTGAGGGACCCCTGTAGTTAATTGACAAGGGTCGGATTCGGACCCTCTCCAAGTTACCCTGTAGGTGCGGTCTTTGAGGTATGAGGTGAGGAGGGAAAGTGCAGAGCCTGAAACTCCACGTTTTTGGAGAGTGTGAAGGAGGATCTGATGGTTCACTGTGTCGAATGCAGCAGACAGGTCCAAAAGGATGATGACAGAGGAGAGGGAGGCTGCTTTAGCAGTGTTCAGTTCCTCAGAGACAGCAAGGAGGGCAGTTTCTGTTGAGTGACCTGCCTTGAAACCAGACTGGTGCGGATCCAGAGGTTGTTCTGATGGAGATAGCAGGAGAGTTGTTTAAAGACAACGCGTTCAAGTGTTTTAGAAAGGAACGTGAGGAGAGAGACAGGCCTGTAGTTTATAACATCGGACGGGTTGAGAGTGGGTTTCTTTAGGAGAGGGTTTACTCTTGCCTCCTTGAGACTGTTTGGAAAGTGACCAGAAGTTAGAGAAGTGTTGATGAGATGGGTGAGAAACGGTAGAATATCATGAGCGATAGTCTGAAGGAGGTTTGAGGGGATAGGATCCAGAGGACAGGTGGTAGGACGGGCAGAGGTAATGAGGGTAAGAACCTCACTTGGAGAGAGAGGGGAAAAGGAGGTTAGTGTGTGGGTGAACGGTGGGACTGGCGACCCAGTGGTGACTAATGGTGAGTCGGAAAAAGAAGAGCGAATATCATCAACCTTTTTTTCAAAGTAGTTAACAAAGTCGCTTGAAAGAAGGGAGGAGGGGGAAGGGACTCTGGGGGGGTCGAGGAGGGTGGAGAAGATGGAAAATATTTTTTTGGGATTGGAATAGGAAGAATGGATCTATCTTGAAAGAAAGTGCTTTTTGCCTGAGAGATTGAAGATGAGAAAGAGGAGAGGAGAGATTGATAGAGTAGGAGGTTGTCAGGGTGTTTGGATTTCCACCATTTTCGCTCAGCTGCCCGAAGGATGGTTCTATTAGCACGCAGTGCGTCATTTAGCCAGGGAGCAGGAGGGGACTGACGAGCCTGCCGAGATGTGAGAGGACAGAGAGAGTCCAGAGAGGATGAAAGAGTAGAGAGGAGAGTTTCTGCAGCAGAGTTTGGAGGCAGGAGTTGGAACGAGTCAGAGGAAGGGAGGCCTGAGAGCACCGATGAGGCAAAGGTAGAGGGGGAGAGGGAACGAAGGTTACGGCGGGCAGGATGAGAAGAGATTAGTTTGTTATGTTTGGAAAGGGGTAGAGAGAATGAAATGAAGAAGTGATCGGATGTGTGGAGCGGGTTTACAGAGAGGTTAGAAGTAGAGCAGTTCCTTGAGAATATGAGATCAAGGACATTGCCAGCTTTATAAGTTGGTGGGGATGGAGACAGTGAGAAAGCAAAGGCGGTTAAAAGAGATGTTAGTTCAGATGTCTTCTCTGTCTGGAGGATGAAGTCTCCGAGAAGTACAGCGGGAGGGCCAGTTTCAGGGATGTGTGAGAGGAGATTATCTAATTCCTCCAAGAAGTCTCCCAAGGCGCCTGGTGGACGGTAGAGAACAACAATGGTTAATTGTATAGGATGGGTTACAGTAAAGGCATGGAATTCAAAGGTGGAAGGAGTGAAGTTAGGTAGTTGGTAGAGGGAAAAGCTCAATTTGGGAGAGAGCAGGAGACCAGTGCCACCTCCTCTGCCAGTGAGTCTGGGTGTATGGGTGAAGGCTGTGCTGTGGAGAGAGCTGCTGGGGTGGCTGTGTTGGATGGAGTAATCCAGGTCTCAGAGAGCAAGGAAATCCAGAGACTGCAAGGAAGCGTAGCGAGAAATGAAGTCAGCCTTAGGAACAGCTGACTGGCAGTTCCACAGGCCACCTGTAACTAGATGATCTCAGTTCTAAAGAACTTATAAGAAATCGGACAAGCAGAAATGTCCTCGCCAAATATATCGCCCACTGTTAACTTTTTGCAGATATATTGGTATCAGTCAGTAACAAGATACCCCAATGGCAGCAATGACAGTAGAGACATTTCAAAATGTTACTAGAAACCATTTTGTAATGAGATTACACTTGCCGCAACGCCAAATTGGGCCAAAGGTTAAAGTGTATGTGTGGGGGGATGGGGGTTCCTCAGCCCTGTTTCTGTTGCCCTCATTAGGTCCACACCCATATTCAAACTCAGGTTCATCTAAACTACTCATCTGTTTTCCAGTATTGTTTTTTTGAAGCTTCCACAGTTGTGATGCTATTGTCTATTCCAAAGACAGTCAGAAATACAGACAGAAAATAACATTGTCAGGAAGTTTGCCAATTATAAAGCACTGACACATGCGTGAGGATGATCATGTATTTCTACAGGGAAGTGTTCAACAAACTCACTCTATATAAAAACAACAGTTCATACTAAAAAAACAGGTTCCGGGTATGACTCATAATGACCTCTATTGTTTGGAATAAGGTCAGACGTGTTATCATCGCTGAGGTAAGACATGTAAGCTTTAACTGAGACTACGATGTTGCCAAAGTATCTCTTGGCACAATGATGGTGTGTGTGTTTATTTGTATTGTGCTAAAATAGTAGTAGGCATGTGGAATGGCTGGTTTCTCTACAGGACTTATTCACTCATAACTCCATTCGGAAACCCGCCTAACTTTAACAGGAAATAAAAATGTGGTTGTGTTTAGCTTGTTTGAAAATGCAACTTGAGTTTTCCTGTCATTTCATAAAAGGGGAGGTCAAGTTTAAAACATATCCAATACGACTTTGACATTCCCCTTGAACTGTACGAAATGCTTTATAGAGTCAAAACAAAAACAAGACATACATTTCTTAGACCCTGAAATCCTCAAGTCTTGGTGGGATTAAACCCTGGATATGGATTAAAACTAAATCCTTAACTCACAACAAAAACAGATTTAGCATTTGTCTGGAATTAACACTGATCTAGGACACTCAACTACACTGTCAACAATTAAGGAATGCACTAAGACACTGCAAATCACTGGAAGAGAAAATAAAGCTCATTTCAAGAAGTGACTGTTATTAGGAATTGTTGTTGGTCACTTTTGTTTTTTTACTGATTGTGTTTGCTGTTAAACTTTACCCTTGCTTAACCCCTGTATGAAGCTCTTGTGTGCCAAGGCGGTTCTCGCAGGGTCAGCCCATCATTTTTTTTTTCCTTGTGCAAACACAAGCTGTCACTAAGTCTGATCTACCACCACATGGACAACATGATTACATTGTCCTGTTTTATGACTTGTGGCTCAACCACGGCCTCACCTGTGTGTATCTTCACACCCCCTGCTTGTTTATTGTGCGAGATTCAAACGGAGCGCTGTGTATCCTTCGGAAACATTTAACAACGCTACGGTAAAGTTGACAGACTTCAAAACTGACTTTTAAAACTGCAGTTTACAAGATGCATCCATCTCTCACCTCAGTCCTTTCTTGAACCCAACTACAAGAGGTGAAAATGCCATATCTCGCAGAGACATTGTGTAATATTCTACTGTCTTGTGTGGTATCATGTTTTCATGTGTTACGTATGACCAGGAAAAAAGGAAAGTAGCTCATTTGTAGTTTTGAAAGTAAAAGGATATCAAGGGTTTATCCACTGATAGTAGCAGAGATTAACGAAAGCAGCTTGCTGGTTTAGACGGTTTGACGTGACCTAACTATCTGTCAATATTGGCTAAACACATATGTATTGGTAGTAAGTAATTCAGAAACCCTGATCCTTGTTTGAGGATCATACATTGAGCATTATATTTGTACCTTGTGGAGGAGCCTGCATTGTTTGCAATTGAGCAGATGTTGTGACTATCTCTTTTTACAATCATGACTTTATTGCTCAGCTGTAAAAAATAAATAAATCGACCTGCAGCATCAATGCTTAAAAAGTCAATGACTAAGAGTACCTCAGGTCAAATTGAGGGAGCCTGACTTGCATCTTTTACACATTTGTTAGCAGATAACAGTATCGGACAGCGTCTTTAACATAAGTGGGTCTGCTCCAATTTTGCTTACAATAACTTTTAATTAGAATATTCACACTGAGAAGTTAGAGCCAGAGGTTTTTAACTTAAAGATGAATGGAAAAGATTGTCAAAATACTTGCTGATTGGTATTCTGTTGCAGCTCTCTATAACGGATCAACAGTTTCAACTTAACATTTTGGAGGAACAGAGTTTTGCTTGTCCCCTAAAATGATATAATATAATAGTACAAATAATTAGGGCCGGGACTCGATTAAAAAAATTAATCTAATTAATTAGAGGCTTTGTAATTAATTAATCGAAATTAATCGCATTTTTAATCGCATATAAATATTTGACCTGAGAACAGTGAGAAGCAATTTTTCACATGGATTTTAGTATACCATTAGGCGCATTCACACCGCAGTACTTTTCCCACAAAGGTTCATGAGAACTTAGTTCATGAGAACAAATGAAGCCGCTGACGTCACTTCTTCTTCTTCTGCTTTGGGTTTACTGGCAGGCCGCAAACCACTTCACGGCGTATACTGCCGCCCAAAGTCCCCGGCCGGAAGTCCCCGGAGTTGGGGACTGGCTTCAGTAGAAGCTGCTGGGAGTCCCAGCAGCTTCTACTGAAGCCTTCCGAGTAAATCGCCAGAACGCCGACACCTCCTCATCTCCACCGCTCCCATGTTTTATTTTGTGTTGCCATAAGTTAGTCTCTCTGCGTTTCTGCGCTGAGCTAATGCTAATGCTAATAATGCTAATGCGAGGATAATAAAATGGCGGCTTCACCAAACTTTTTGGGAGTTTTACGGGGCGTGGTTTGCAATCCGCCCAGCCAATCAGAAATATAGCTCTTTTCTCACAAGAGAGCCGTACGAAAGTCCCTGCTCTCTAGCAGCTCTCTGCTCTCTAGCAGGGACTTTCGTGGGGGTAAAAAGGTTCTCATGAACTAATTTTAGTACCGGCTCTTTTTGGTGTGAACCATAGACTGTATGGTGTGAACGCGATAAAAGAGGCTAACGTCCACGCTAGCTGCTATATGTTTTGCATTGAGGTGATACTTGAGGCTTGATGTGCTGCGGTGATATGCGAATTCCTTTTTGCATAATTTGCACACAACCGTGCTCTTATCAACGCTTCCATCCGTCCGTTTTTTAAAACAACATTTCCCACTGTTGTTCACTGTGGTTTGTTGTTGTCTGAAGTCATGAACGTTAGTTGGTGCTCCAGTATAATCGGTACGCCTGAAACTCATCCAGTGAGAAACGTTCCGCGGTGCAAAAATAAGTGCGATTAAAATGCCTTGATTTTTTTAACGCGTTAATTTGTGTAATTAATTAATCTTAATTAACGCGTTAAAGTCCCGGCCCTACAAATAATGCAAGTTGAAAAGATTCACACCTAATAGGGCTTTTAATGCATTTTAGTTGTTCTAAATCTGCCCATGAGCTGTTAGTATGTTCCCTGCATGACAGAGAACTAGAGGAGGTTTCATTTCTCCACATCTAATTTGCTTTTTTGCACAATTACATAATATCTGAAGGAATGGACTGCAACTTTATGAATTTCACAGTTCAACAGTCTTGTCTAGACAAAAGTGTGCTAATGTCCATCCGTAGTCCCGTCAGGCCGTCACATACAACATTTATGAACATGACAGTTATATACATGACAACAATAAATACATGATGTGCAGAAGATTAATTATTGGAGGTTAATGAAGACTACAATTTAGTGTGGGTTCATTTTAAGCTAAACCTTTGTATGTCTGAAACAGGAGCACTGTAAGCTAACTGCAGATGTATGTCTCCTTAAGCGTCAGACGCTACTTCATCTTGCTGCTATGAGAAAACATGACACAGGCACAGGCATGAAAACCAGGCAATGAAGATGATTGTGCAACTAACCTGTGCAGCTGCTGGCTCTCATTAGTCGGGACGGGGGCAGGGTCACTCTTCGGCTTTGTCTTGAACTTTAAGAACTTGAATCTCTTCTTCTCTCCCTCATTCTTGTCCTTGTCCACCGAATCTGTCAGGTTGGCTTCGCTCCTGGAGAACAAACTTTTCAGAGTCTTTCTGGAGGAACTCTTCGCCATCTCTGCCGCTGTGCGTAAAGCCACCGAGGGTATTTGTCCTTACACAGAGTCACAACTACTTTCCCGCTTATGGTCGGTTATTAACCTGATCTGCGAAGTGGGGAAAGTGCACGGATGGCACTTGTTGACAGATGACATATGCCGCTGCTGCCTCCTTTTCTGTGCAGTATGCATATATCAGGTGTGGCGACACGCCCCTTAGGAAAACACCCAACTCCAGACAGCCTGAGACTCCAGCTGGTCCCCTATCATATAATAAAAATAAAATTAATACAAAATGTATTTTTATTTAGCTTACTTTAATAAGTCAGGGAGTTATATTCTGCGTTTCAAAGTTGCATTAAATAATAATAGTATAGTTTCACTTCCATTTATTTCAGGTGAGTTATGGGTTTCCACATCAAGAAGGGAAATAAGAACGTGGTTTAATAGAGGTGGCGGGTACTGTAGACTAGGGAAGGCTAAGCCTTCCCAAATATTTTTGTCACTGCATCCTGGTAAAATGTAAATATAATGTATAATGTTTGTGTCTTTGACATTAGCGCTATGCAGCCACCAATAAACTGTAGCCTACTACGAAGCCAGTTCAACATACCCTGGATATGTTTGAGTTATATTAACTAATCCTAACAAACGAGATCTCGCTAAGCGGTCAGTTCTTATTATACATCCATGGTAGGCCTACTAAGACACTGGTTATCAACTCAGTAAATCAACCCAGGGGTTCTCTCTCCGGCTGAGAGCGCGTTCAATGAGCGGGGCTATAGCAGCATTTGACCAATCACAAACATGGACAAGCGTACTGACAGCGCAGCGTCATACTTCATTAATGAAAATTAAACAATAATATTAGACAAATATGAAGAGGTTCAACTTTAAACATCCATGACTTAAACACTTTATCCACATGCAACTCATCAACGATGATCCTGCGCTCCTCTGTCCTGGATCGCGAGCCCTGGATCTTGAGTCGTGGCTGTGGTCCTGGATCATAGGTCCTGGATGGATATCCTCGTGGATTCATCTTCCTATTATACACACATGCATTTCCAAACATTTGGACTACCTATGTTGCAAATGTATTATCTTTTCAATTTACACACGGCATCTATTGCACGTCTGTCCGTCCTGGGAGAGGGATCCCTCCTCTGTTGCTCTCCCTGAGGTTTCTCCCATTTTTCCCTTTAAACTGTGGGTTTTCTTCGGAAGTTTTTCCTTGTACGATGTGAGGGTCTAAGGACAGAGGGTGTCGTATTGTCATACTGATATTTTGTACAAACTGTAAAGTCCACTGAGACAAATATAACATTTGTGATATTGGGCTATATAAATAAACATTGATTGATTGATTGATGCAAGGTGAATACAGAACAGCTGGTTAAAAAATGAATAAACTACAGTGTTTGAATGCGTAGGCCTAAATTAACAGGTTTGTGATATCACTGCCTCATCTAAGACACGAGTGGATCTGACTTTAATTAGCCTACATTTGAGTTGAGTGTTTTGTCAACTTAACTTCGTGTTGCTTAAAATAATACTTCTGCATACAGGCTAGGCTCTAGGCCTATGTGACACTGTAAGTGTTGCACGGCCAGATACGGCTCAAGAAGCTGTCTCAGATAAGGAAATATATGATATATTATGATATTATATGATCGATGATGTGATATAAATGATAAGTGCGACACGTCGGCATCATTGTCTTCCCTGCATACGGCAGTTGTTCTGTATTTCCTTTATCCTGTAATATGACTTGATATATTTAAACTCCGCACACTGAGCTCTGATTGGTCAGCAGGCGGTGCTTTCACTGAGTTGATCTTTTATCTACAGACGCCGGAGGCGGGCAGCGTCAGGTAAAAAAAAGTTATTTAGCCAGCCCAAACCTGAGCCTCACGCGCCGCTATGGGATTATCCCTGATAAAATCGGATTGTGTTATGTTTTATGAATATACTTGTCACTTGCTAGGTCACCGGGCACTAACTGAGCTTCCTCCCAGGATCCAGCGGTTTCGACTCAGATTCATGAGGTACAGTTACACAATCTCACACACACCTGGCAAAGGCCTGTTTACAGCCGACACTCTCTCACGCTCACCTGTCAGTCAAAACTCAAGTTCAAAACTGACAGACAACGACTTAATGGAAGACACAAACATCTATGTGGATGAAATCATCAATAGCATGCCTGCCAGCTCAACATACATGGCACAACTGAGAGAGCGACTGCAGGAAGACAGTGTTTGCTCGGAGGTCATGTCATACTGTCAGAGAGGATGGCCTGACCGCAGCCAGCTCACAGGTCCAGTTAAAGCTTACTGGCCTGATAGAGCTGTACTTACTGTACATAATGGACTCCTGCTCATGGGCTCCAGACTAGTCATTCCCACAGCGATGCACAACACTGTCCTCGATGCACTACACGAGGGACATCAGGGGATGACCAGGTGCAGAGAGCGGGCCAGAGAGACGGTATGGTGGCTTGGCTGGAGTGGCCAACTAAACGAGCTGGTGAGAAATTGCAAAACATGCATCAAAGAGCGTGGCAATCCTGTGGAGCCATTAATGTCCAGTGAGCTCCCAGAGAGACCATGGCAAAAAGTAGGTTCTGATTTATTCACACTCAACCATGATAACTACCTACTAGTAGTGGACTACTACTCTAGGTATGTAGAGATTGCCAAACTAACTCCCACACGATCTCAGGATGTTATTGTGCATCTCAAATCAATATTCTCTAGACATGGGGTCCCAGAGAATTTTTTTAGTGACAATGGCCCCCAGTACTCCAGTCAACAGTTCAAGGACTTTGCAGTAGCCTACGGGTTCAAACATGTCACTAGTAGCCCTAGGTTCGCTCAGAGTAACGGGGAGGCGGAACGTCATGTTCAGACTGTGAAACAGCTGCTAAAGAAAGCTAAGGATCCGTATCTGGCTCTGTTGGCCTATGGAGCTACACCACTTTCTAATGGCTACAGTCCTGCCCAGCTCCTCATGGGCAGGAGACTGCGCACTCCAGTGCCCCAGCATCCCTCTCTACTCACTCCAGAGCTTCCAGACAGCACTGTTGTGGCAGCTAAAGAAAGGGAGAGGAGGGTGAAGGACACTGTACATTTCAACAAAAGGCACCGTGTGAGAGATCTAAGTCAGCTCACACCAGGTCAGCCAGTGTGGATTACAGATACAAAGTCTCAAGGCACAGTGGTTTCGTCGCACTCAGCTCCACGTTCCTACATTGTGGACGGGCCTTCAGGCACCATCAGGCGGAACAGACACCATCTTGTCCCTTTTCCAGAGACTGTACCACACACACCTCACACTCCAACACCCAGCACACCACCCCAACCAGGTGAGTCTACACTGGGTTCTCCAGAACGCCCTGAGTCACCAACACAGACTCCCAAGGGGCACACACCTGTCCGTACACACACACGGCTCTACCACTAGGTATGGCAGAGTGGTGGTAAAACCTGACATACTGGACTTGTGAACTGGGGGGAGACAAATGAATGTGAAAAAAAAAGACGATGTGAAAAGGGAAGAATGTTGAATAATTTTGTGTTTTGATGTTTAGATCACTTGTGCTCACAAAGATATTGCCTGACTCAGTGGTTGTTTTTGTTATTTTTCATGAGAAGCCTTAAGAGTGCAATGTTCTATTTTTGAGTAAATAGCGATGTGATTGTGCAGAAAGAAGTGTGATGACATGTTCTGAGGTTCTTGCAGAGTTTTCAGTTTATCACCTGATTTTGCATTATCTGAGTCACAGTATATACATGTGACAGTCTGTTCTGTTTGCTTAAGAAAGGGAGATGTGGTGTTAGCTGTTATGCTTTTATTGTGATAGAGCTAACAGGATGTAGAGACCGGATGTGGACACGACGGGAGACTACTACAAAATGACATGGAGAGTACAAGCCTGAATAAAGTAACCACCATGCTCTAAACCGTCTGTATTACTTTACGCTTACCACGACAACTTCTAACTATAGCCTTGTTTTTGAATAATAACAATCATGCCAATAATATAAAACATAAATAGATGCATTATTTTATTTAAAGTTGAATGTCACACAGAGACATTTGATGTAAACAAATTGTGTATCAACATGTAGCCTATTGCAACACATTTTGAAACATCAAAAATATGCAATAATGTTAAACGGTGTGAGACTACAATCACAGTGGATGAACAGGGACATCGTGTGGTCTCTGTGTGGTTTGCAGCCGGATTGCAGTCAGAAGAAAGGTCACAGGGTCATTCATGTACACACATGCATGTGGCCTACTCTGCCCCACGATGGCGCTACCATCCTACTGAATCCAATAAAAAACGACAAGGTGGAGAACAATAGTAAAGGTAAACATCGGTTCAAGAATGTGCTACTTGTTTTATGACTAGTCTAAACTGACAGATGCAATGAATGGTTCACAAAATGAAAGAATAAAATGCAGCTTTTACCCCTCTCAGTGACATATGGGAATGACTTGCACAATATATACTTTGCCCATAAATAAGGATTTCTAGCTATATATGCACATATTGGGGGGAAAACCGACTCGAAAAATATGTGAAATTGTGAAATGTCATCATCTTGATAAGCACTTGTGAAAGTTGTATTGCTTCACTCTTACAGTAGCCCATTATGGCATTATCATAAGGAGATAAGGAATGACTAAAACAAATGTTACATGATTTCATTTTGATGGTATCATGGTAATTATAGTGAGTGTGCTGGGATTCCCCTGCAGTAACCTTCAGGTTACAAGTTATGTGTTCATTTAACATTGAAAAACATGTAATTCGATTTTGCTATCAGAACATGAAATAAATCGTCCAACAATAATATTTGTTTTCTCTTTCACATTTCACTTACGAATATTGCTATATTCATACAGTATGTACATATTACTTTATAAAAAATGGCAGACAGATTGTACACATCTAAGCACAAGTAAGGAGTACGTGCTAGATAAGGACCGTATCAGATGAATATCAATTTCAAAAGACAGCCATCTGACATCTGGTAATAAAGCAGAACCCACCAAACAGTAACTAACACACCAAACAGTAACTTCATTACAAATACACATATTTGTGCAGTGATGGAAAAATAGATAATCTCTTAATCTGACTGTCAGCA